TTAAATAATTAGTATAATATAACTGTGCTAATAGGCTTAAAATATTATTGCTGTTCTGCTCTCACATCCTCCAGCTTATCCCACCTGTAGGTAAAGAAAATGAGTACCAGGTCTGTCGCAGTGTTGCAAGGAAGCATTGGGACACAATGAAAGATTATTATCAGAAAGTAAGCCATTCTTTTGAATATTTTCTGTCTATTTGCATTTCCAAAGCTTAATGTTTAGCTTTTTAATAACCTTCATTAGTATACACTAAACTTGAAGTTCAAATTCATTGTAGGCTGCAGTGGCATATTCAAGAGGGGAACGAGCTCATGCTACTCAACTTTCAGAAACGGTATGGCTCTGCAAATACAACCTACTTTCATAGTCCTTAAATAATTGTAGAAAATATACTCTTGTGATCTCACTCTCAAACCATGTGGCCTTGGTTTACTCACAAGTTACTATCAACATAGTTGTAGAAATGCTTTATCCAAATATGATATAAAGTGCTTTGCAAGTTTTCTTTGTCTTGTAGACATATGTTTCTGGTCGTTTGTCATTTCATTTCATTTCAAATTTTTTTCCTCGTAGAACCTTATTAGTAGAACATACATATCTTTTATTGGAATCATACATCTAGAGGAGTAGCTGTGTAAGTACTTATTGAGGCTTGATGAGCACATGAAAAGTATGTTACATATTCAATGTTGAGTACTGGACTGAGAGCAGTAGAGTGCAGGGATGAGTAATTTGCGTTATTGATTCACTAATCAAAAGAATACAAAGGAAAAGTGAAAAGTCTGAAACAAGAGAAAGGAGACATGGCAAGTTATAAAAAGAGTTAGTTCATATGTGTTATCACCTATCTTAGCTGAGTTTTCTTTGTAAAGCTTGAAGTGCTATAAGTATGTGTATCATGCGAGTTTAATTTGAATTTATATTATCCATATCCATGAAAAATGGTCTATTTTTATGTGCGTTTATGTATTGTTTGTCTACTTGTGGACTTTTGTTTGGAAAAAAAAAGTTTGGAGTATTCAAGTATGCATAGCATACAAGTTTGTGAATTATTTGTAGCGTGAACGGTAAAACTTCTTTAGCTGGAACTTGAAAGATATACCAGTTAGTAAAAAATAATGAAGCTACAGAACATGTGGGTGGCATGGAGACTATTCTGCACATCAAAATAGGAGCTATACTACTACTCAATACGACTAAGAAGAAATAAAAAAACCTCCAAATGACGAAGACAGATTCGTAATTCTGGATCAAAGCATGTAGAAATAGTAAAGACAGAAAGCATTATGATCCTTATGGGAATGGAAATCAATGGATATGTAAAATAGCATCATTTAATGGTAGCATTTTGAGAAAGGTAATCAGCTGCTGTCTTTTGCTCTTAATTTTTGAAGAGCTTTGGCATGGAACTCATTCGACAGTAGTTTAAGTCTTTCAGTTATATACTGATAATTGCCAATACATTTTCTGTAAGTTAGTTGTACTGTCAGTCAATACCTGGGAATCATTTTCAATATGATATTCCAGATTTTAACAAGAGACCTGGAATAATTACATTATTATGTAGTATGCTAGCTTAAGCTGCTATACCTTGAACATAGGTTATCCACTAGGAGCTCTAAGGATTAATTGTCTCCATAAACCTAATTACTCTTAGTGCAACCATGATTTTCTGTTAAATAATGTTTGGAGGACTTTTAGTCATTTAGCAAATATAAATTTTGTTCTCTTATAGATCGTTGCATTCATATTGAGCTGTAACAGGGTAAACCTTGTCAATAATGTTAAAGTAACATGTTTTACGTATATAATTTCAACAATTCTTTTAAGATAATAAGTTACAAAAAAATAATGTGTTTAGCTGTGGTGTGCATATTTGCGTAACTAATTCAAATTAGATCCAATATTCAAAAATGTGGTTTATCACGCGTCCGGTCTGGGAGCGCTTAATGATTAATCAGATTATGCAGAATTATAGTTTGATGATTATGAGGTGGCTGCTCAGTTTAGCAAAATGAGCTAGTAAGAGATAGAAGTTTGAGGTCCACACTTTTTGAATTGACTTTTAGGTGGGCCTCATCACATGACTATCTCTAGAGAGCTCATTTTGCATGATATGACTATCTCTTGGTAGCTCATTTAACATGATGAGCCGCCACCTCATGCACATTATTTCTATAAATTATTTATCATTCGTCAAAATACATAAAATTCAGGAAATGTACAAAATATATATTTTGAAGCTTTGACCAATTTATTTCACCTAAGAGCTTTGAAGGGAACATCATAGAGCTTCAAGGGGATCATTGGAGGGCTTGTAAGGAGAGCATAAAAGGTCATACAATCTTTCGGTGAGTTTTCGTGAAGGTCGAGCAAATGTCGATGAAGGTTGGACTTGTTTATTGCAGCCATCGAGATTGAATGAGTTACTAGAAAGAGAAGTAGCTGAAATTTGGTAAAACTTTAGGATTCAGATTTCTTTTACTTCAATTATTGAGTTAGGTTTTGAGGTAAACAGGTTTAACCCGGAAAGAATTTAGAAGTAAAGCGCTAGCATAAAAAAATTTATGTGGGCACTTACTGAAAATGCGATTATGTGGATAATCACATAATGAGGTGCTTTTTCGCCACTCGGAGCGATTCCAACCCACATACGCACAAGTAGCCGCTTAATTCACGTTTTAGAATATTGATTAGATCTTCTATCTTTCCGATAAAATAATGTTTGTTGTATTATGTAGTTCGGGAAGATCTAGTAGTTTTATAACAACCAAGGAGCACCTCTTAAGGCTATGATCTTGGAAGTTTAAAGACACAAAATTGTGTTGTATAGAAATTCAGTTGGGAGTTAAGGTCTGATGGAGAGGTGGCAGTATTGCGTCTGTTTGATTTAGCTTGAAAAGGAAAAATAGCATTGGATACTTCATAATTTAGTAGGAAAAGGAAAGATAGCATTAGATACTTCATAACCGCATATTTGCTTCATACCATGATAAAGCTTCACAACTCAAATTTAGTCACACCGACACAATGATCACACTTGTTTTTTTCCTTTAATACCTATCTTCTGCAATTCAGTCTCTTTTTTGGAATAACATCCTGACAACTGTGGATTAACGATGTCAGTAAATGAACCTATCTTGTATATGAAAGAGAGGTCTGTGATGTGAATGGTCGAGGTTAGAAAGAAAAATTGCTAGTAGAAGGAATTTTAAGATAACACCAAAGCCTCTCAGCTTGAAATCACTATGGGCATGCATTTAAGAAAACACTGAGGCATTTAAGAAAACATTGATAAAAAAACTACCATTGTGCAAAATTCCAAGTTTCACACTCACCTTAAAAGCACAATTAACTTGCATGGTATTTTAGAATATAGATTTGTAAAAACCTTCAAATCTATATTTAGGGTTTTAACTAGTAACAAAAAGTGCCGCTATAGTGGCGCTAATAGCGTTAGCAGTGGTCCACCACACTGCTTTGACGATTGCGGTTACGGAAATCGCTAAGAAGCGCGTCAAAGCAGTAAAAAAAGGGACAAAATCCACTTTTTACTGCTTTATTAATCCACCATTGAAAAACGGTTAATTGAGTTGGGTATTAAGTAAACCCGACCCGTTCAAACCCAATTCTCATTCTCGTCTCCCTCTCCCTCCTCTCCGTTGATAAAAAACCCTAAACACCACCACCATCTCCTCTCTTCTTTCCATTTCTCCCCCAAACCTGCCGCCTCCCGCCACTCTCCTCTCCTTTCTCTTGTCGAAGCTCTCTCTCATCACTAAATCATCCTCTTTGATGATTTAACATCAATGCCACTTCTTCTCAGTTCTCCTCACACTATCTCCTCTTGTCTTCACCCTTGTGCTTCGGCAACCCTCAAGCTTTAGCCCTCCACCGCCAAATCAGCCCTTCACAGCGGCAAGTTCCGGCAATTATCAAGCTTCAGCAGCCCAAATCAGACCTCCACCATCTTCAGCCTTCCACTGCCTCGACGTTGCAACACTGGCGTCAAGCTCAAGGTAACATATTTAA